CCACCCCAAAGTAATTATTAAAAACCAAACTAGCAATTGTCAAGGCTGCCAGAATAAACACCCTTGAATATTGCATTTATATAAACAATGAAGCAGCAGCAGCAGTCAACACTGATTTTGAATGTAATTTACCAAAAATAAGTAACCACGTTATGCAGCCATATCTAGAACAACCTATAACTGCTGGGTTTTAATTCTATAAATGGCATTACAACAATAAAATCAGTCCTCCGTCCAGACTAGTAAGTATAAGAATTTAAGGTGCTATTCAAGTGAACTTATAAAGGTTTTTTTTAAATTATAGCCTACTATAAATTGCTTCAGAACTTTTTAGTTTGCACCTTGAAGGCAATTTTAGGAAGTCTTACCTATGCCTGATATATAACTGTATTTTTTTTTTTGTTTCTGCTTCCTGAAATCTTCGGAAACCTTTCACAATGCTTTGTAAAATAGATATTTAAGTAGATGTTCAGTATCACATACATGGAGTTTAATTTGTCATCATGTATTCTTGTTTTGCAACTGAAAAAGCAATATTGTTGCTAGTAGCTGAAGTAAGAGCATAGTAACTTCTTATACATAATATGCTGGGAAACCACAGTTTCCAACCTTTTAGAGGTGAGGCAAGAAAAAGACAGAAGCATTGGGCTGCATGCCACTGTGTGAGGAAACTGCATTTCGCTGTTCCTAATTGTTATGGAATGCTTCCTCTGTGCTTCACCTTTCTCCACAGACATCTTTCCTTAAATCGTGCCATTTCTTCTCCCGCTTCATTGCATGAGGAAAATAACACAAATACAGGTAGCTTCCTCCCTACTAAATAGGACCTCTTTTGTGTGAATTGCCCATATTTCAGTAGTATAACAGACAGATTGCCCTCCCATCTTCTTTGTGCCTTTCATACCTCCCTGTAGAATGAAAAATCATAGATGAGCACACACACTTGTAACTTCTTTGTGCTATTTCCATTCCAGAAATTGGTAAGATGGTAAATATATATAAATACAAATATATATATACATATGTGTAATAGAATCTGGGTTTTTTTCCCCTTTTCTATCTGTACTACTATGTGAGATAAGAAAGGTAACATTTTCTAGCCTGCTCTCTGTTAATCTGGAGATGGGAATGACTCTGAAGAGATGACTTAACATCTATGACCCAATGGAAATTGCTCACAAGCAAAATGTATATGGTGTTGCTCTGTTGAAAAGTCAAATTACTATTTTTATTTTAAATTTGGAAGTGTAAGGAATAATTTTCAATATGCTAAGAAGCTTACTCAAGGCAACTTGTATGCCATAAAGGAGTTATCTCCAACTCAAGTCACTTACATTAAAATTTTCAGATTGCTTCCTGTCCTAGTAATCAGTTTTATTAGATAGTATAGCGAGTTTTAACTCGGAATGTGAATTACTGTGTTCTATAAACCTCTGTTAGTTCAGCAAGAAAAAATGAAAGGTATAGAGTAGCTTGCACCAATGGGTTTGCCAAATATAACTTCATATAAACCATTTGCAAAAACAAAATTACTGTGCTAGGATTATAAGTTTATTTTAAAAATACTTATAATTGTGGGAATTTAATGCTTACAAATCTCTGCTGTTAGGACAAAAATCCTATAAAAGTAGGATTCTAACCAACCAAAGGCTGCCCCATGTTTACCAGTCTACAGCAGGGACAGTCAGTAGTTGATTGAAGAACTATTAGGAAAATAGAAGGTTATGATAAGCTTAATTTTTCGGTTGCATGGAAACAACTTTCTGGTCTGATTCTTATCAGCTGATCAGCCATACAAGTTGAAAAATTATCTTAGATGAATTTAGAGACGTCAATCTAATCTCATGAGAGCTTGCTGTGTGGCCTTTCTTTTCTCTTGTTCCTGGATCACAGTGGCTAGTTTATACTGTCATCCATTCCACCATTTCCATGTGTGAAGCGCTTACAAGGATGAACAACTAACTGGAGAGATTAGTATTAATGTACTGCTGTTGGAATTTAGCAACTGCAATCTGTGAGAGGCTTTAGAAGCAGCTGGTCTGCTACAGACCACCAAGAGATAGTCTGTATCAATGAGTATTTTGTTTGTAACTGCTTTTAAATCTTAATTCTGATACAGTAGGTTTTCTTTATGTAGGTGTTGTATGGAGCTTTGTCACTACACTGTCTTCTTAATTTGTAGCGGTTACAAATGCAGCACGAGCTAAGCTTAAGGAAACTAATAGAGGGTTCAGAGTATCAAGAGGGACTGAACTACGACTTCAATATAAAAGGGGAATTGAGGCATCTGGATACAAATGAGCTCTTTGTTTTCAATTACTACAATGTACATGAGTATAATCACAAACGCTATCAAGCTTTGGGACATTTCATTAACCAATATGTTTATGAGCTCCTGGAAAGAGTCTGCATGCTGCAGAAAGTTTATATTCCTAGTGATGCTACAGAGGATGAACCAAGAAGTTTCTTTTTCATGAGCAAGAATGCACTAACAAGTTCCTCTAGGCTAACTGTCCTTCTTCAAGACCGTGGAGTTTTCTGTGCCGGACAGTGGGGGCAAAGAATAATTGTCAGTGAGGGCCTGGAGTGTGGAACACAAATACCATTTATCAAAAAGGCCCTTCAAAGCCACGGGGGAGTGATTGTATTGAATCCCAATGACAACTTCATTGATCTGAAGACTGAAAAGGAGAGGTTAAGCTTTTCTACCAAGGAAGAATCACTGACTTCTATGCAGTCCATCCCCAAGAGGTACAGTAGCAGTCCCGAGGAACATACCATGTATGTATGGGATCATTTCATTTCAAAGAGCAAAGCTAAGAATGTGGCTTTCATTGCCCATGGATATGGTGGCTTGGTGTTTGTTGATCTGCTGGTGCAGAGGAAAAGGGAGGTAATGAATAAAGTGTACTGTGTGGCATTCATTGACTCCATGCACAACATAGAGCACCAGACTGGAAGCGACCCACAAACACAAGAATGGATACAGAAATACTGCTGTGAATGGGTGTCAAACACTAAGCCTCTAGATAAAGCTGTCCATTCTCTCATGAAAATTAATTGTCCTACTCTCTCTGCTGGAACGAAAAACTATGGTTTAGCACCCTCCTGCTGCCTACGTAGCATCTTTAAGTACCTGAAGAGCACACTGGAAAAAACAAACAGGACAGCCTTTACGCGTTTACCTGTTGCAACCAGAAGCAGAACAAGTAAGAAGACATGCACTAAATAAAGGTACAGTGATTTGTTCTTGAGAATAGTCTCTTCCTTTCATAATTGGCCCTGCACCCTTCAGTCATTTAAGGAATCATAGAATCCATTGGGTTGGAAGGTACCTTTAAAGGTCATCCAGTCCAACCCCCCTGCAGTGAGCAGGGACATCTTTAACTGGATCAGACTGCCCAGAGCCCCATCAAGCCTGACCTTGAATGTCTCCAGAGATGAGGCCTCCACCACTTCCCTGGGCAACCTGTTCCAGTGTTTCACCACCCTCATGGTGAATCCTAATGTCTAATCTAAATTTACTCTGCTCTAGTTTAAAACCATTGCCCCTTGTCCTAACACTACATGCCTTTGTAAACAGTCCCTCCCCAGTTAACTTCCCTCCAGTCACAGATGGTATGCTGTCCTGGTTTAGTGGGACAAAATTTTAGAGTCAGTTTTCTGTTGAGGAAAACTGCAATTTTGTAAGGACTACACCACTATTTCATGGGAACAAAGTTGATAAAACCTTTGTTATAGGTTTTAGCTAATACTGGTATGTAGGTTGCTGTAGTGCTCAAGGTCTTCAAGGTCTTAAGATAAACAGATGCAAAAGCTGGGGGGAGTGGAAACCTAGGGGAGTCAACGCCAAGGTGATCAATTAATACTATTTATAACATAAATGTCACATTCATTATAAACTGGGGAGTTTGCTAGAAACAGCCCTCCTTCTTGTATTCTCTTTCTCTCTCTCCTGCTCCCTGTTCTGTGGCTGACATCTCAAGAGGTATTGTTTACCATCCTAACCCTGAGGCCTACTTCCCCACAGTATTGGCCAAGTATAACGTTGTGTATTTTATAACTGTTACAAATATTAGTTTGTTACTATTATTATTTTGTTATTTTATTAAATATATTTCTATTTCAACCCCAGGAATCTCCTTTCCTTTTCCCATCTCCCCTTCCCAAGTAGGGAGGAGGCACTGGGTGACAGAGCAACTGTAAAAACCATGACATACACTCCAAACATGATACCATGAGCTAAATTTCTGTTTTAAAGCCAACTAAGACAGTGAGATTACTGGGCATGAGCCGCTACAAAATACAGTACTCTAGCAACTTGCAGTTACCAAACTGATGCAAAAGAATGACATTGCTGTTTACCCTCAGCTGTTTAATTTCAGACAGGGATAGGAAATAGAGACAGTTTTTAAATGTCCGTACTCAAGGTTTGCAATTTATACACATAAGAGGTCAAATAACCTTTAAATTGAATGTAAACAAAAGAGTTACTCTGAACCTTCAGTTTAATCCTGCAGGAATTAAAGGTGCTCAGTGGCTGCAAAAGAGCTTTGAAGGATGACAAGACTTTGTCCTACACCTTCAGTTCCCATCTCAGTCAAAAAAAAAAAGCTGAACAGTAATACTGGATACCAGAGAGAAGAGTGTCAACTTCCATTTTGTGTTTATATCCATTTCAGATGTCAATAATCTCTAAGACTGTTTGAAAAAGCTTCTTCCCTCTTATCCAGCAATAGGCAAAAGTGTAAAATTCCACTGGAAAGGCCCAGCCACTGTTATTGCACCTGCATGAAAATGGTACTAAATAGACAATTAATAGATGAGACAGTGCTTTAGTTCACTTCAGGAAGTTGCACTGGATGTTGAGGATGCATACAACCTGTCTGTTTTGTAGGTGCTGGTCAGCACGCAACTCAAAGAATAGTCATTTGCGTGAATTCTGCACAGGAACTTGTAGCTTTATTTACGAGAGGAGTATGAGGTGACAGAATGTCTGTCTTCAGAAGGAGACCAAGATGATCCTTCAACATAAATGCTCAAACTGTCCCACGGTGTCAGAGGCGGCTAAAAATGCTCAAAGGAAAGAAGGGATCTAGAACATCGGCCATTTCCGTAATTCTTTATGGAAAGGTCAATCCATTAAATTCCTTGGTAAAGAAGGTCGTATTTAGGAATGTTATTGGGATCAATAGGACTTCTCACAATGAGTTTTCCACGCATTGCTCCACGGTAAATCACTTCAATCAGATCTATAAAGTCTTGCTTTGTTTTGAAGCTTCCTACAAATTTGGTATGATCTGGAGACCTAAATATAAGCACAAAATAAACGTAGAATTGTAATGTTAAGGTGTTCAAGGCAAAAGCACTTAAAGACCAGAAAATATGTACAATGAACTCAGGAGTTCTGATTTGGTCATTCTGAAAGAATCATCTGCACTGGTAATGGCACAACCAGGTCAGAAGTACACTGTGACCTCCAAAGTCCAAAAAGGTGCAGTGTCACATCTAAGACTTCAACCATACTAATTTTTGTAGTCAGGCATGCTTCACACTGACACCGACTTATTGCATGAGAGCATACTTCAAAATACTTCTTAATTTTACATTGCCCTGGCTTCCTGCAGAGTTCTCAATGCAGATGCTGGTAACAACAAATTATCAGCTGTAAAAAAACCAACACTTTTATATATTACCTTCCCCAGACACGGTAGCATAGAAAAAGACTGCTAACTCTTACAGACATAACAGATAATGCCACGTAGGATGACATACCCATAATCAACCTTCATGTGTTGTCCATTGAAGAAAAACACAGTAGATGGAATATAACTGATGTCAAAATACTGTGTGTACACTGGAACCTTGTCCACATCCACCAGGTAAATGACTGCCATTTTACTTAGGTCATGAGCTGTCTTTGAAAGCTGTAAAGAGTGAGAAAGATGGATGCCAAATGGATTGAGACACAGGAGGAAAACAGGTGGTAACCTTTATAAAGCCCATTTCCCTTGTGTCTCATCAGTTTAAGCAGGACTAGAATATCATGTCTTCTCTACTTCAACACTTTGTACACCCACTACAATAACATAAACATTTGCTTAATTTTCAAACTGCTTTATGAATATAGTATGACTAAATTTTACATTTGCCACCAAAATTTTTACAAGACACCGTATTATCAAAAAGCGACACATTCTTGTACGCAGCAGGTATACTAGAAGAATTTATTAAAAAATTATTTTTAAAAATTGCTCTTACAATATCATCAAGCTGCAGACAAACAGCATCGTTATCTCTTCCAAACCGGAGAACCAAAACCTTCTCGGCCACACTTTTTATTGCCTGATCCACTTCTCTCTTACAGGTCAGTTTAGGCAGCAGAAAACTCATCCCGACAGACCACGGCTCCCACTAAAATCCCTACCTGTCGGTTAGAAAAATAAAACAAAACAAAAAACTGCGTCGAAAATCAGTGAAACTTTTCCACGCCATTAAAAACAAAAGATAAGCCGCCGGCTACAGCGTGCGCCTGACGCCCGGCAGGCCTGCGGGCCCAGACCCCACC